ATTTATTTAACCTTTATTTAACCAGGCAAATACCATTGAGATCACAGATCTCTTTTGCAACAGAGGCCTGGACCTGAAGGCAGCCTAACATGCATGTTTTTGGCATGTGGGAGGAAACCGGAGTACGCAAGCACGAGAAGAACATGTAAACTCCACACAGAAAGACCCCAGGTCCAACCGGGGATGGAACCCTGGGCGTTCTTGCTGTGAGACAACAGTGCTAACCACTGAGCTATCGTGCTGCCTAACAAATGATACACACAAATTGGACTTTCAAAGTTTAAATAAAACGGCTAAAACGTTGCCATTTCTTAAGATGGTCTTAGTGTGTAAAAGTGGCATGAAGGGAGGCGGGCGACGTGCATTCCTTCAAGAAATGCTGTGCCTTTAATTAAAAGTCTTTATTCAAACGAGTGTCTCTCTTCAGTCAGTTTGACTAAACATTAAACTAAATTCCTCTGCATCATTCTGAAGGATGAGCTGAAGAAACTTGGAGTCCTGATCGTGTCCTCTCTCTCTCTCTCTCTCTCTCCGTGTGCGTGCGTGCGCGCGCGCGTGTGACAGGCGTCAGAAATAGCACTGAGGGAGCTCAGACCAGCAGGCTGAGGATCAGACTCCTCCGAGCAGAAACTTCATCACAGAGGGGACAATGGATGGAGGCTCCGTTATGTTCTGGTAACAGTCAAATATTAATAACCTGCATCAGTTTCCAGCTCGGAGGCAACAATGAAGAGGAGGACGTGGAGACGTTTCACCGACCACTGCAGCTGTGTTTTGTCCGCGTGGACTCTGCTGTGCTCCTGTTTGTTTGTGCCCGTCAGGACGGACGGTGTTTGCCCGTCGTCCTGCGCGTGCACCGGACTCACGGTGACCTGTCTTTCTGACGGCCAGGACATACCGACGGACATACCGGCGTGGACGTCCACTTTGATACTTCACGGGAGAAACGTCTCAACTTTACCCCAAGGTGCGTTCACGGCCAACGGCAGCGAGTCGGAAATACGGACACTCAGGCTGTCCCATAACGGGATACGGGTGATCGAACCGTACGCCTTCCTGGGACTCCCCCGCCTGCATTTACTGGATCTGAGTCACAACCAGCTGGAGACCATCTCGTCCCGCGCTCTCCACGGGTTGCCAGAGCTGCGCTCTCTTTACCTGAACTCTTCCGTTTCACCTGGCGCAGCGGCGCAGCTCGCGCACGCGCTCAACGCGGATAGTTTGCGGAACCTCCACAGGCTGGAGCTGGCGGGAAACCGGCTGACCAGCATCCCCCTGGAGAGATTAGACATCTACAACCTTCACGCCTTAGTGCTGATAAACAACTCGATAGAGAGCATCGAGAGAGAAAACGTCTCCAGTTTATATCAGCAGAGGCGCACGCGCGTCTACCTGGCGCTCAATCCGTTTCGGTGCACCTGCGAGCTGGAGGTGTTTTACTACTGGTTGAAGAACTCATCCCAGTGCGCGGATGCTGGGAGGCTCCTGTGCAGCGAGCCGGAGGCCCGGAGGGGGGTCCCCGTGGAGAAGCTCCGGGGGGAGGACGTGGATTGTCTGAATGAGAACCTGGAGGCGGTCTCCTACGTGTTTCTGGGGATCGTGTTGGCCCTGATCGGGGTGGTGTTCCTCATGGTTCTGTATTTGAACCGGAGGGGCATCAAAAGGTGGCTCAACAACATCCGAGAGGCGTGCAGGGACCAGATGGAGGTGTACCACTACCGCTACGAGCAGGACACGGACCCCAGACTGGCCAACGTGGCTGTTTGACGCATCAGCCCAGGAGGGGGTGGGGTGGGGGGTGGGGGGTGTAAGGGAGTTATTAAAGGTACTCATTGCAATGGCATGAAGATACTTCAAAAATAGTTTGAAAAGTAAGAAACAAAATCAGCACTTTTTTTTTTTTGGGGGGGGGGGGGGGGGGTGTCGCCTAATGGTCAATGTGTCCTTAGATTTAAAAAATATATCAGCAAAGTTTGTGACTGAATGCCAACAGGTGTCTGAAAGTAGGTGAACAGTGGCACAGTCCAGGAAGAGACATTCAACAAGCTGCACACATTAGATGCAGATGTGGAAAACAACTGGAGCAAACTCTTTTCAAACGTCACCATTGGATGTAGTTCAGAATAACCGTTTAATTTCATCGTTTGCAACGAGTACCTTGTAAACAGCCAGATCCAAGTCAAAAGATGGCAGAAACAATGTTTTTTTTAGCAGATGATATAAAATCCACGTCTCACTTCAGGATCAGAGCCAAAGACAAATGACACGACAACATAGTTATGTCGTCATCTTGCACAAGAAACTTCCAACCAGTATTGTACAAGCTGTGTATAAACATCCATTTTTAATGCATCCTCTTAAAGAGATAGTCTGCTTTTAAGTGATTTTATGTCTAATAGTTAATAATATATACCTTATCAATCATAGAGCACTGAGTATGGAGAAAGAAGCAGAAGTCTTCATCCAAGCTAGACTAGGCCCCATTTTTTTTAAACTCAGTTTATCAGCAATAAAACAATACTTGGTTGTAAAAGGAAGGTACATTCACTAACAGCAAACCTCCACACTTTTGCATCGTGTCACCGTTTGATGAGTTTTGTTGCTGTTTTCTCACTCAAACAAAATTCGTATTACTTTGTGAATGTGTGTGTCAAGCGTAGATGATGCTGATGGCACTGAGGCTGCAAACGCATCAGTCCATGTCTAGAATAATAAAAAAGTTAAAAGCAGCTCTGAGCGCAGCGTTCAAATGTTTATAAAGCTCCCTCAACTCCCAGTGGAGCAGCATTTGATGGGTTTTGCTCGGTTTGTGTAGCATCACTGATGTTGTTCAGTAGAGAAAACTGTGACAAACTAAACAAACACTGTTGCAAAAGAGTAATTTCCTTCAATTTTAACGAATGTAGTGTTCTTTTACATCAATATGTGTTTTTTAGAGAGATTTTTTTGTAAATCTGAAAAATTATTTAAATTTTTTTTTAAAAACAACTGTCACTTGTCTCACCACTCATTAACCTGGCCTGGACCAAGACTTCACCCTTCTTGTGCTCTATGATGTCACAGCTGATAACTATTATAGAACATCAGTTCAAAAATCACCAGACTATCCCTTTAACTTCAGCACTCAGCAGCTATTCACTTAGTAACATTTCCTTTATTAATACCGTGATGATGAAACATATAAATAGCCTATGTCAACTATTAAATTTAAAATGCTTACATAAAGTGCTGGCTCTCTGTTTTTCTTTAAAGGTTTAATAAACGCTGAAGGGAGAACAAGATTAATTTGCTTTTAATCCACTATGGGGATTAACTATGAAAAAGTGAAAAAAAAAAAATGTTTGCTGGAGTGGATTAACTGGCTCAATTAATCTTGAAATAGGTTTTTACCATTTCAAAATAACAGCACTGGACACGTTTTTTGGGCTACATCAATCAAGCAATGAAAGAAAGAGAGACAAATTAATCATTCACGTGATTTTAGGCACACAGAAAAACAACTAAACTGCAAATAGGTCCAAATAAAAATTGAAAGTTTGTATATTATTTTTCAGTACTTTCAAAACTTGCAGCTCCTTTTGTGGCACTGTGCAGGACATATGCGTGCTAGAGGCACGGGGGTTTACTAGAAAAGCTCTAGAGTAACATAAATGCAGCAGAGCAGAGTTCAACTCATCACCACTGTCACTTGTTAACTAAAGAAAATGAGGATTGACCTGCAAAGTGTGGCTCAGAGCTCATCAGCGTTTTATTCAGAGCTCCACATCCAGAGCACAGAATCTGGAAACAACAATAAAAAAAAATTAAAAGTCTGGGAAAACTAACTAAAGAGTCCATCGGGACACTTGATCTTCCGTTCTTTAATAAAAGATATCTTACCTGTTGTAGATAACTCTTTGTATTATGTTAATTTGGAGAAACAAAGTTTAATTCTGATTTGATTGACATTATGGAGCTCTTCAAACTCTTTGAATAACAACAATAAATAAATAAAAAAGATACATTCAAACTGAATATCCCCTTTACACAAGCTAAAACATGTTTGTCCACAAATTAAGCAGATATGAGTAAAATGCTGCATGCGTTTGTTTTCGCTTCAGATTTAAATGAAGTATGTCACTGTGTCAGCAGCAGAGTCACCTTTACGTAACAACAGCCACCACTTGGCTGCTGGATGGATGACGTGCTGCTGCAGCGTCCTGTTGTTCTGCTGGACGTGAAGCCCGGGAAGATGAAACCTCTTCATCAGGACCGCCGTGCCAAAGGAGGAAAGGATCAGTGTGGTGGACACACGTGTCCCGTAACTGAAGCAAAGCTAGTAGTTTACTGTTTCTTATGTAATGGTTTTGTCTCTGAGGAATAATTCTACTATAGCAAAAATACCTAAGTGTTTTTTATTGGTTAACTTGATGAGAGGCTTTAAAAAGCTCTAAAAACAAAAGTACAGGAAAGTTAAACCTTTCTCTGGGTCCTTTATTGGATCGTACAGAACTACACAATTTTAACAAATCCAAAACGTATTCCACTATTGTATGATATTTGGGTCAGTTCTCTGCTGGAATAAGTAATAGTATGAATGTTTATGAAGCGTTTACAATATTGTGATCCATTTTTCTTCTGTACGTTTTTTGGCATTTGCTCTGGTTCAGCTTCTTTCAGCTTCTGTCTGCTAACTACATCATTTTCATGCTTCTAACTTCTTTCTGCTAATTTCAGCTTGTTATGCTCCTTTTAGCTTATTTCTGCAAGTATCAGCATTTTCTGCTACTATTTAACTGGTTTTATGCTAATTTTAGCATAATCAGCTAATTCCACATTTTTTTGCACTCATTTCAACTTTTTTCAGCCTAATTCAGCAACAAATGTGCTCTCTTCACTTCCTTCTGGTAATTTAAGCTTCTTTCTGCTTTTTAGCTACTTTTCAGCAGATTTTTTTTGGCAGATTTCAGCTTTTTTCAGATAATTTATTTTATTTTTTTTTTGCTCATTTCTGCTTCTTTCATTGGGACACATGTTATTTCTGCTTTCTTCTGCTGATCTAAGCTTGTTCTACCTTTTCAGCTACCTTTTTTAAAATAGCGTTTTTAGCTAATTTCTGCAGTTTTCAGCTAAATTATATTTTTTTGTGGTAATTTCTGCTACTTTCAGCCTAATTAACTTCTTTATGCTAATTTCAGCTTGTTATGCTACTTTCAGCTTAATTATGCTAGTTTAAGCTTTTTCTGCTATTTAAACTACTATTTATCTGTTTATGCTAATTTTAGCTTTTTCAGCTAATGACACATTTTTTTAGCTCATTTTATCTTTTAAGCTTCTTTCTGCCTTTCAGATACTTTTTTGCCATCTTTTGCTAATTTCAGCTTTTTTAAGCTAAATTCCTTTTTTTGTGCTCATTTCTGCTTATTTAAACCTGTTTCAGCAAATATGTGTTCTTTCTGCTTTCTTCTGCTAGTTTAGGCTTGTTCTTCCATTTCAGCTATGTTTCATCATGTTTTAGCTCATTTCAGCTGTTTTTCAGCAAATTCTTCTGCAAAAAACATTCACACTGCATTTTTGCTGAATATGCAATTTCTCTAGCTATTATTGAAAAAGCTTATCGTTTACCGAGCTCTAAACAGCTTGAAGCTGATGGAAATTGTAAAAAAAAAAAAAAGGAAAAATCTTTGAAAATCAGTGTTAAAACAAGTTAAAAGATTTCAAGACAAACTGTGATGTTTTGGTTTTTCTAAACAAGGTTAACTAGTAACCAAAATATAATTATGAGATTAAACAAGACAGCTAGTAATAAATTAAATCTACGTTTTGTAGATGACAGTTCAAAACACTTTTGGATATTCAAATTTGAAATTTTCATTTTTTTCAAGTCTAAATTTATTTATTTATTTACAAAATTAAAGTCATTTAGGGGGCAGTGTTGGGATCTTTCGCAGGACTATTGTGAAACTGAGCACTATCGTTCATCCGATCTTCACTTTGATGTGTAAAATTAGTCAAAGGAGCTTTATCTTTTCTCTGTTCTGTCTTTGTCCTCACAACCATCAGCGTTTTCCCTCTATATCAAGTACTGTGGGAATTAAAAAAATAGATACCACATTAATTTTAATGGCTAAAACTCATAATTTAAACGCGTCCTTTTTCATTTCTGTTATTTCACCACCCTCATTGCTCCGTTCTTTATTTTGGCCTCAAGGTTTAAACATGTCAAAGGCTTTAATGCTGCCTGCACTTCCACCTTCTTCTGTTCACCTCTCTCGCTCCTCTCCATCCAGGTAAATGACTTTATCCAGTTGAGTGACTTTGTAAGGAAGTGGGGGCAGCATTTAAGCTGAGTCTGGCGAGGGGGCGGGGGGTTGTGGGGGCCAGAAGCACGAAGATAAAGAATAAGGAGAGACGAGTACAGATTCATTAGAGTTCTTTAGTCCAGGCACAAAACGTCCTTGTCTTATGCAAAGCAATGACTCACCCTCCTGCTCTGTCTGTGACTGGAAGACCAGAAGATATTAAGTTAAGAAAATTTGATTTTTTTCTGTGGTACTGCGGCTACTTTTTAGAGAATTTAATCATATCTCATGCCTTAATATCATATTTTATGTACTCCATCAATCAATGACATGTAGGAGCTGGTAATTAAAGTTGTAGTGACATGTAACCAGATTTGAGTCGTGTTTGCTGACTATCCAGCTAAAATTATCCATATTGTGATGCTAGAATGAACGAGATGCTTTTGTGGTGTATTACCTGCTGGTTTATGTATTGCATGCTGTCTG